GCTGAGATCCACACTCCATCTGCATTGTTCTTGGTGAGAATGAAGCTAGAAGCAGGGACATGACCTGGAAGGCCGATTTGGGCGACTACTCAGGACAGCGTATGGAGGTATTGAAAGGACAAGGCAGAGAAGCAGAGCCAGGCTGCTGGGCTCTGCCTGCTGAGAAGACTGGTGGCCGTCCATCCTCCTGGAACACAGGCTGGCCTGGGATGTCTGCACTTGGCTCCAGCCTCATATATCCCCATCTCCCAGCCTGGACCGCGGATGCCTGTCATCTTGGAATGCCCCAGCCCCCATTATGGACCACCGCCAGCACCTGACAACTCGGCTGATCTGAATTCTTGTGACCAGGCTTTGCCAGAACATCAAGGCTGAACGCAAGATTCTGGGGCTCCTAAAACAAGAGGTTTGCAATTTTATTAAGAAAACAAAAAATAACCTATACAAAAAGGAAAGTTCCATTTCTGTGGGCAGCACTTAAGGAGGGAGGGGCAGCTCCAAGTCTGATGGCATCCTTGTCTGCGCCCTCCCCGCCTGCTAGGCCTCCTGCTGCTGGATGAAGGGGTTAGGAATGGCCTCCATGCCATCCTGTGGGCAGATGAGCACCACGGAGGTGCCCCTGCACACCACCAGGCCCAGCTGGCGGGTGTCCTCTGTAAGCTTGTATTGGTCATCAGGGTCTGTGGAGGAAGAGAGGACAGGAGTTAAGAAATTGAGTTCATGCCTGGGGTATGATGGGGTCTGAAGATCCAAATCAAAGGGTCCTCCAATCACTTTCCTCAACCCTCCATCTGGGACTTTGAGGGGACATACTGGCCAGGGTGGCAGGACAAGTGCCTCACAAAGCCAGACATGCAGTCTTTCTCCCTGCAGTGGCCCACAGACTGGAAAGAGTTCTGGAAACAATCAGCTAAAGTCTGTCCTCATTCTGCAAATGAGAACACGGAGGCCCAGGGGACTGCCAAGATGTTGGGTAGTGAAACTAATTGGGGGCACTGGTACCTGAGCCAGCAGAAGCCCTGGGGCCATGTTATCAGCCAGGCAGCTGAAATACAAATTTGTGAGAGCCCTTCAGGACCACTGTTCACTAGTGTCAAAGGTGTGTTAACAGCAGAGCAAAAGGGACCCGATGGAAGTGACAGCAAGCTCCAGGAGAGCTCTTCTGAGGTCACAGTGACTTAAAGTCCCCATTACTGTTATTGAAAGAATGTGGCGAAGGGAAGAACAAGGTGGCCCAGTGAAATCAGAGACCTCATTGAGAGGCACTGCTCCACCATCAGATCCTGCAGGGACAAAAGCTATCTGGCCCTGACCTTCTCATCCCCTATCCATTTGAATGGGTCCAGGCCTCCCTGAGGAGGAGGACACAGACTAAGCAAGTGTGGCAGCACAATGGTAGGAGAGGTTCTGTGGAAGGAGCAGCAGCCACACCACTCAGGGCCAACCTGCCCTAAACGCTCTGCATGCTTGAACTGACTTGGTTTCTCCATTGGCCCCACATGGTGAGACTATCTTACAAACAAGGAAATTCATCCACCGAAGGTGGCGGGGCTGGGACTCTGGGTGAATCCAGGCAGGAAAAGAAAAAATGAGGGCAAAGCAAGAGGTCCCTCCCCTAGAGTTGACTGACTGAGCTAAGACCATGCTTCTTCTCCATGACCCCGTGACACTCTTATATAACTGTGTTAAGATACCAGAGTAACTTGTATCTCAAGACATTGATGGTCCCCTGAGGAGCAAGACCCTCCCTCCCTCCTAGGTCTTGGCATCCCCTTAATGCCTGGATCAGGCTGAGCTGAAGAACTTGCTCGCTGATGGGTCAGGGATAGCCTGACTGCTGTGGGCTGCTGCGGATGGAGCATCTATTGATTTGGAGGTAGGAAGACTGGGGGCAGGGTATAAGGGAAATAGAATCCTTTGTCAGCAGCAGGGGGACGGCAGGAGACAGTGGGCTGACAGAGCCCCAGAGTAGGTTGGCATCTTTCTTTCTTTCTTATTTATTTTTATTGATTTTTAGAGAGAGAGGAAGGGAGAGGGATAGGAAGAGATAGAAACATCAACGAGAGAGAACATCAATTTGCCGCCTCCTGCATGCCTCCCACTAGGGGTTGGGCCCACAACCTGGGCATGTGCCCTGACTGGGAATCAAACCAGTGACCTCTTGGTGCATAGGTCAATGCTCAACCACTGGGCCACACCAGCTGGGCTTTTTTTTTAATGTATTGATTTGAGAGATTGAGATTGAGATTGAGATTGAGATTGAGATTGAGAGAGAGAGAGAGAGAGAGAGAGAGAGAGAGAGACAGACTGATCTGTTGTTCTACTTAGTTATGTATTCATTGGTTGATTCTGTATGCTGTATGTATCCTGACCAAGGATTGAACCCTCAACCTTCGTGTACCAGGACAACTTTCACCAACTGAACTACAGGGTCAGGGCTGGTTGGCAGCTTTCTTTTTTATTTATATATTTATTTTCTTTATTGATTTTTAGAGATAGAGAAAGGGACAGATAGAAACATCAATGAGAGAGAACATCAACTGGTCGCCTCCTGCATGTCCCCTACTGGGGATTTGGCCCACAACCTGGTCATGTGTCCTGACCAGGAATCAAACAGGCAACCTTCTGGTGCATGGGTCGATGCCCAACCACTGAACCACACCGGTGGTTGGTTCTAACCAATCTGGGCATCGGTGTCTCAGGATCAGTGATGGTGGATTAGCGAAACGATTCCACATCCTGTAAGTTTCTGAGAGGACAGTGTATTAGGCTTGTCTGGAATGCTGATACAGTGAGAGATGAAACATATCTAGCAGCTGTCTGATCTACAAGGACCACATTAGTTAACTCAGATGGCAGGTTACTGAGTCTGAACAGTCAGAAAGGTCCAGCAAGGAGGCCTCTAAGCCCTGCTGGCTGCACTCACCTCTCATGTATTCAATGGTGCCATCAAGCACGAGGTTGAGGAGTGGGTCAAACCCTTTCAGGATTCCACTGGCTTGTAGGAATCACCAAGAAGAGAAGAGAAATGGAAAGGTGTAAGATCAACAGTGGTTCAGGGAACAAGTACCAAATGCCACTGTAAGTTGCATATGTTAAAGCAGTTAATTTTATCTCAATTAAAAAAACAAACGAGCCCTGGCCGGTTTGGCTCAGCAGTTGGAGCATCGGCCTGTGGACCAGAGAGTCCTGGGTTCAGTTCCCGCTAGGGGTACATACCAAAAAAACCCAAAACAAAACAAAACAACAAACGAGCGTCCTAGGTTATGGCTCCTTGACCAAGTGATTTATCTTTGCACCTGAGAGGGGGGTGAGCCCCCAGTGCCCAACAGGCTATCCATCCTTCTGCCCACTGCTGTTTCTCCCAACTGTTCTCTCTGGCCTGCAGACCTTTACACTCGTGCTTCTGCTTGTGATGCTCCACTTCCCAACCCTCCTTTCCAACTCCTCTCATCCTCCAGGACTCTCTTGGCCCTGGTTTCACCTGGTGGAGGCACGTACCCCACTATGCTAGCATTCTGCTTGCCCACTTTCCCTGAAAGGCAGGGATTATTAGGTACTGTACTGCCTTCTCCTCACTAGATTCCAGTGGCAGATGCAGAGTTAAACACCTATGTGTTTATGCATAAAGCTGCAAATTGTGACAGGTGCTACCAGGAGGTTATAACAAAGAGGCCTTAGGGAAGGTGAAGGGTCAGGGAAGGTTTCCCACAGCCAGTACCTTGAGCCAAGAGCAGGAAAATGACTCTGGCAGTTAACCTGGTAAAAGCACTCCAGGCAGAGAAAACATGTACCTTTACAGCCCAGTGGCAGGTGAGAGTTCCATTAGTTACTCAAAGGTACCAAAGGTTTGTGATTACCCTGGGACAGTGGGGAGTCCCCGAGGGCTGAGTAGCAAACACGATTTTATTTGTTTTTAACAGGTCTCTCCGGTCCACATGCGGAGACTGACTGTAGGACCTTCCTTGGTCTCAAAAGGGGCAATTCTGCTCCCCCAGGAGACACTGGGTGACATTTGAGACTTTTTAGTTGTGAAAATTAAGAGATGCTCCTGGCATCTAGTGGGTGGAGGCCAGGAATGCTGCTCAACACCCCACAGTACCCAGGATGGTCCCCATGACCAAGAACATTCGGGCCCCAAAGTTAAGAGTGTGAAGCCTGAGGAACCCTGGTGTAGGGGAATCAGTGAAGGGCTGCAATGACAGAACCTCACGGGAAGCAAAGTCTTGCATTCCAGTCCCTGTTGTGCTACTGTGGCTTTGGGTAAAAAAAAAAAAAAAAAGATATATATATATATATATTTATTTATTTTAAGATAGTAAGGGAAAGACAGAAACATCAATGGGAGAGAACCATCCACAGGTTGCCTCCTGAACGCCGCACACTAGGAATGGAGCCCGAAACCTGGGCACGTGCCCTGACCGAGAATCGAACCGGCGACCTCTCGGTGCATGGGACGACGCTCAATCCAGTGAGCCACACAGGCTGGGTAAGTCTGGTCCCCTTTCCATGCCTCAGTTTCCCCAGATGCAAATGGGCAAAGCAGCACCTACCTCCCGGCGTCTCTAGGAAGCTTGCACGAGTTATCCAGGAAGGCGCCTAAGCGTGCCCAGGTATCAGCTGTCACTCTCGCCCCTCGTTACTTTACGTAAATCGTTAGGGGGTGCAGAAGCGGGTGCCTCACCTTCGCGGCCTCCTTGAAACTTCACCCGGATCGTCTTGTCGATGTACTTGGACAGGTCCAAGATGCTCTCCTTCTTCTTCTTCTCTTTATCCTTTAAGGGAAGCAGAACGCATGAGGCGGAGAGCCTGGCCAGGCCCCCGGGCCCCGCCGCCGGCCCCCCGCCATACTCACCGCCATCTTGTCGCGCCACGCCGCTCTGCGGAGGCAGTGCCTCTGCGCCCTTTGACCCCGCTCCGCACGCCAGCGCGGCACAAGCACAGCGCTTGCGCGGCGCGCTTCGCCGGGGCGTTGCTGGGAAACATCTGGCGACGCCTGCGGTTGGTACCCGCCAACATGGCGGCGGCGGCGCTGGAGTGTCTCGCGGCGGCCTGTCTCCTCCTTGCGGTCCAGGTGAGGGCTGCATCCACCCCGCTGGTCCCGCCGGAGGCGGTGACCCGGCCCTTCCGTCCCCGGCCGCGCGCAGGTCCCCCAGGCCTGGCCTGGGGCAGCCTCGGGGACCCGCGCCCCCCGCGCGGACGGCTCGCGGGCCTGGAGCCCCGCTGTGACCTTGCGGGCCTGTCCCCGGCCATGTTCCCTTCTCCTTCTCGAAAGCCCTTTGCACCGTCACTAGTTCCGCGCAGGTCTGAAATTTGGGGCCCCCTCTTCCTCCCTCGGGCTGAGTTGCCTATCTCGGGGTCTCCAGCCGCCGCCGGGGATGCTCCTGTCTGCCTCCGTGGCCTTGGCCAGGTAGCTGCCCCCCTCAGAGCCTCAGTTTCCCCTTACTCGCGATGCAATCGCCCCCCCTCGTGGTTGTGGTAAGCTGTCCAGCGCGACACCTAAGCAGTGTCCGGGAGCGTCCAGGAGCCCTGGAGGGGGCTCGAATTTCTGTCTCACTTTCACTTCGTGACCTTGGGCCAGAGAGTTCCTCGCTTTGGGCGTCAGTTGCTTCTCTACAAAAGGAGCTTAAGGGTGCAGTGTGGACTCAGCGAGATGGTGCATGGTGTGATGAACCGCAGCATGTTACTTGTTTGTTACAACGTTAAGCCTCTCGGGTGCTAGTTAGGGACTGACCACGAAATGGCTGATGTACATCGTCAAGGGTGCATTTCTTATTTACAAATTCTTCCTCTCCCCTGGATTCAGCAGCTCAGGGAATGGTGCCTCTAACAGCCCTACAAACGCAGCCATTAATCCTGACCTGTCCACTCCACCCCACTGCCACCTCTCTGCTGTAGCTCTGGGCGGGTGACTGGTAATCTCCTCATGGACACTTTTGTCCCCCACATTCCCAGTCCATTCTCAACACAGCAGTAGCAATCTCTTTCAAAGTGTGTCAGGTCTTGTCATGTCCAGATGAGAGTCTTCCGGTGGCCTCCCCATGCATTTGGGAGGCCTCTGTGATCTGGCTGCCCAGGAAGCATCTCTCTCTTTCCAGTTCTAGTTAATTGAAAGTGCTCAGCTCTTTTTTTTTTTTCATTTCCCTGGAACACCCTGGTCATCCTTCCGATCTCAGCTTAACCCCCAAGCTCTCTAGGATGCCCCTTCCCATCTGTTTGCCAGCCCCCTGTATTTCCCCCCGACCCTTTTAATTACCAGTTTGAGGTCTTAGCAGTTTGAAGGCAGGGTTTGCGTGCTCCAGACATTTTGAAAGAGGGCAAAGCAAGAGGGCTATGAAGGGTCATGGGAACACCGTGGAAGGAATGACTCAGTTTGCCCGGTCAGGCTTTTCAGAAGCAGTGGCGTCTGAGGGGTGTTTGCCTGTCTTGAGGACAGACGAAGGGGTGGTACAGGTGGTGGGAGCAGCATGAGTCAGGTGGAGGTGTGAGAGCTGATGATCTATTTGGGGGGTCAGACAGTGAGGGGTCTGCTGTGGTTGGTGTATAGGGTGGTCTGATTCTTACACCCTGAGAACAATGTCAGCCTAAAGGAGCTCCTTCAGGTGTACTTGAAGACAGTCTGGAAGGCAGGGGCAGGGCCAGCAGTGGGAGTAGCTCCAATCAAAGAGTAAAGGGCAGGCCAGGCATGTGACCTCCCTAGGCTGGGGTCCAGGGGCACAGGCTGGGCAGGTCAGAGCCAGGTGGTGGAAGGTCATGGTGTTGGGGCCTTTTTCCAGGCAGGCTGAGGGCCTTCAACTTTATCCTGAGCATGGAGAATCAGGAGAGTGACGAGCACAGTTGGAACTGCTCTTCCCAGAACAGAACCCTAGTTGGAAATATGCCCTGAGATGACACAGCACCCCTCCTTGGGTGGGTGTGGTTCTTCATGGTTCCTCCAGTAGATTAACTCTCCACTGGGCAGGAGTGGGGATGGGGGTGGGGAGGTGCTTGCTGACAGGCTTAAACTCATTTGCTACTATTTTGTGATCCAGTGAGGGATTTGACATCCCCTAATAGACCCACCTCTCTCAGTTGCTGTGAGATATGTACATAAAGGCCATAACAGAGGCTATTACTCATCAGGTCTTAACTAATGTTAGTGCCCTCCTACCCTACCTGTACCTGTCCTACCTACCTTTTTTCCACTTGCTTTCTTGCCACTTATGCACCTGTCCCCCCTCCACCTGTTCCCAACCCTTCCTCTACCTGCCCCCTGTCCCTCCTCTACTGGTTCCCTACCATCATCACCTGTCCCCATCACCACTGTACCTGTCCCATCCCCCCTCACACTGTCCTATACCCCAGCATCTCTTTCCAAGCGTCTGGGTCCTATTTCTCTGCTCTCTCCCAAAACTCACAATATATTCTGAGAAGAAAGACTGCCCTAGCCTAGACCCATTAGTCTCTTTCAAAGCCTTGATCCGAATGCTTTCATAGTAATCCTTAAGCATAGTATCCTTGGAAGTTCCTGGACCTGCTCTGTGAACGTGATGTGTTAGAAGGTGGTTTGTCCTCAGTAGCCTTGGCTGCTTCTAGTTCTCCAAATTGGGATGGGCTGTGTTGGAACGTGGGCACTTGTAGCACTGGGTCCTTTTCTTTTTAATTTTGGTTAATCCTCACCTAAGGATATTTTCCCATTGATTTTTAGATAGAGTAGAAGGGAGGGGGAGGGAGAGAGAAACATCTATGTGAGAGAGACACATTGATTTGTTGTGTCCCACACGACCCCAACTGGGGCCAGGAATTGAACCTGCAGCCCAGGTACATGTCCTTGACCAGGAATCAAATCTTTGACCCTTCAGTCTGCAGGCCGATGCTCTAACTGCTGAGCCAAACTGGCCAGGGCAGTACTGGGTCCTTTTGAAGAACTTCTCCCAGCTCCTTTAACTCAGGATGAGGGAACTATAGTCAAAGCGAAGCCGTGATCTCTCTGGTGTTTGACACAAGCATAGGCTTAGTTGCACAAGGAATAGGGAGGAAAGTCTGTGAAGTGCACTTACTGGTTCTTAAATAGCTTTTTTTTTTTTTCTTAAAGAACTGGTTTCTTTCCATTTCCATTTTATACAAATGACAATTTTCATCAACAGCTTGGCTCTCATGGATCGAGGGTTAGCAAACTTTTCAGAAACGGCCAGATAGTGAATATTTTCAGCTTTGCATGCAATTGTCCAACTGCAGTGGCAGCTGAGAACAGCAAGAGGCCCTGCTTATAGGCATGGGGCAGTTGTGTTCTAATAAAACTGTATTTGTAAACACAGAAGATGGGCTAATGAGACCCAGGGGTTGAGGGACTCTACTACTACCCATGGTGGTCCAGGGTGAGGAGGTGCTGGGGGCTCTGAGCATTGGAGAGGGCATATAACCAGGTACCATACTTGGGACCAGGATGAAGGCCAACTTTGGGGGGCAGTCTGGTGAGGAGAACCTGAAAGAGGGGCCTCCTAATTTTGCCCCTGGTCGAGGGAATGAGATGACGTGAGGTGTGTGGAGTTACTCTGGAAACAGAGGCAGGTGTGGCAGGATACTGCCCTAGTGAAGTGCTCTGAGACCTCCAGTTGGCCTCGGGCATTCCACTGCCCTGCCTTTCCCTCCCTGAAAGCTGGGTAGCTCCGAACACCCAGCTTCTTTGGAGCTCAGCACCCTGTAAACACTGCTTTGGTGGTCAGCACCCTACTCCAGGTGAGAAACAGAAGTGCCAGATCTGATGGGCTGGCTGGAACAGTGGCATTTGGGGACTATGGAAAGTGGAACTTGCACCCAGCACCTGGTGTCAGCCTTCAGGCTATGAGGTTGGGGGACCCTGGGCTCTTCTCCATGCCACCACCACTGCCAGGTGACCAGGGTCAGGGTAGGAAGCTCTGGGAGTGGCCTGGCTGTGCTTTTGCCAAGGGCCCAGCTGTCTGAGAGCCAGTCTGTGCCCTAGGCCTGGTGTTAGGGCCCATAGTCTATCAGAACCCTTGGTCAAGCCAGGGCCCCTCCCCCCTCTCCCACCTTGGCAAAGCCGCATCCACGGTGTGGGTGGGTTCCACTGTGCCAGCTAGTGACTGTCCCAATCATGTGTTCATTGTTGGGAGCAGCTGCCACCTGTTGTTCTCTGTAGCGACTCTCCGGGGAAACCACAGGTGCATTCTCTGGCTCTGTCTGGAGGCATTTATAGCCCAAAGGGAGTAAGAACTACAGAGGGAGAGGCCTAGGAGCCCAGGTATGCAGATCTTGATGAGGGTCCAGATGAGCCCTTTTAGCTCCAAGCAGCCCAGGGGCCAGTAAGGGCCAGGGCCTGTGGGTATGGTGTGTTGGGGTCCACTGGCCAGGTGCTGACAGGGCCAAGGTCACACCCAGGTCTCCCTAGGAATACTTGTCATACTCACCACCCTCCCTGTTTTCTTCATCATGATATACTTATGTGTGTCCTATCTGTCATGTCTGAGGGAGGAAACCAGCCCAGCCCTCACAGGCATCCTCCTTTAACTTGGACCCCATGTCATCTGGGTAGTCCGGCCTCTGCCTGGAGTTCTCTGACCCGTGCCCCATTGCTTCAGGTGGCCTGTGAATATGGCATGGTACACGTGGTCTCTGAGACGGGGGGTCCCAAAGGCAAGGACTACTGCATCCTCTACAACCCGCAGTGGGCTCATCTGCCACACGACCTCAGCAAGGCGGTGAGTATTGGGCTGATGACCCCCCTGGCTGGGTGGCTCTGAGCACCCCTTCCAGCTTAGGGTCTTGTCTGTCTTGCTGCCATCCCTCTACCCCTCTCCCCAGTTTCCAGAGGGGCCTTTGAGGAGACTCATCTGCAGAGATCCAGCTGGAGGACAGAGGAAGGACCTCAGCTGGGAAACCATGGGGCGGAATCTGGTCACACTTGAGAGGCCTCTGGGCATCCCCAAAGGGGCCCCACAACCTCTCTGGGCCTCTTTAGTCGTGAATGAAAGATGTCTGTAGCGCTGTCTAGGGGTGGCCTCTGGTGGAGGTGCCAGTCAGGCTTTCAGGTGTTGGACGGGGGCTGGCTGGCAGAGGTCCTGAGAGGAGTGACAGCAGAGGGCAGGGCAAGCGTGCTTCTCTCCTTATAGGAGACCCCGCCCTCCCTGGTCTGGCCCCCTTTCTCCACTCAGAGGGCCTGGAGTATGCTCCTGCGGATGAGTTCTCATTACAGAGGCTGATGCTCCTGCCCCATTTGTAATGGACTCTGGAGGTGGATCTGGAGATGCAGAGAGGATTTCTGAGGGGTTTGCTTTGAGTGCACACTGCCCTGTCCCTCCTGTCTGCCTTGTGTTTAGTGTGTGAGTCTGTGCATGTGTGTCTGCAGGCCCTGCCCACCCTCTACCTCTCATCCTTTCTTGGTGCAAGGGGCTAAAATCCAGTGAGACCTAAGAGGCTGTAGTGGTCTGGATACTGAAGGCTCAGTATGACCAGGCAGATTTCTCTGATGCCTTGGTTCCCATGAGGACCTGGTCCCACCCTGACTTTTCTAGAACAGCTCCTATGAGCTCTGCCTTCCCTCAGTCTCTTCTGCAGCTGCGGGACTGGACGACCTCCATGCTCTGCTCTCCATCTGACCTCCCTGCCAAAGGCTTCAGCAACCAGATTCCACTGGTGACTCGGGGGAACTGCACCTTCTACGACAAAGTGAGGCTAGCCCAGGGCAGCGGGGCACATGGACTGCTTATCGTCAGCAAGGAGACCCTGGTACAGCTGCCTGGGTGCCCTTCTGGGCAGTAGGACCTACCTGGGGCAAGGGTTGGAGGTGTTCAGAGGGGGTAGGAAGGAGCCCCTGGGACCCAACTGAAATGGGCCAGGGTACTGGCCAGGGTCCAGGTAGCCACAGCCAGGAGAGATGAGTTTGGTTTGCTAACTGGCTATGGACTTGGGCCTTTGGACCCTTGTCTTGGAAGAGGCTTGTCCCAGAGCAGTCCTGTGGGTTGGGGGATACAGGGCCTCAGGCAGAGCTCTGGGAGTGCCTTCTAAGGAGCAGATAGCATGGGCCCATATGCCAGCCTCTCCTCCAGGCTCCGAGCAGGGTGGATTGGCTCCTGACCCCAAGGTTTGAATGAAGGGCTAGCTTTTTCTCCCCCAGTGGGTGGTACCCTTCCTCCTGGCATGTCCCCCTCCCATGATGCCTGGCACCTGAGGACCCAGCACACACAGGGAACCTTTCCCTCCCTTAGAGAGAGGGCTGGCTCTATGGGCTGTGCCATCAGGAGGGGTTGGCTATCTGCCCCATCCTGTGTGGGCCTTGATCAGCCAGCAGATCTGCCTCTTCTGGGCTCCCAGGTCCCCCCAGGAGGCAACAAGACGCAGTATGAGGAAATCGGCATTCCCGTGGCCCTGCTCAGCCACAAAGACATGCTGGACATTTTCAAGGTAGGGAGTCCCTCCCCCTGCAGCCTGCACTGGCCCAGGGCCTAAGTAGATGGTAGGCAAAGCCTGTGGCAAGGCTGCCCACTGTGAGCCACATCATGAGAGTGGTCCTCCAGTGCCACCTAAAGCCAGGAACAGAGACCACAGCCCTGAAGTGCCCTGTGCAGCTGGTTAGAGTAATCGAGCATCACTCCTTCCCTCCTGCTTGTACACACTTGGCCCAGGCCTGTCTGACCCAAGGGCCATGTTCATCTTTGATTTGGGGAGCTGGGTCTAGAGCAGGTGAGCGTCATTATGTAAGTGAAGGGGAATTTCCAGTCATTGTGAACTTCCAGAAGTTCACAGTAGACATATCTGAATGTAGGCCTCACGCCTCTCCCCATGGGGCCCCCATGGGCCCCCTGGATGTTACCCAGGTGGTGTGCACCTTCATGCATGCAGGTGCACATCTAGGCTTGAGGTCTGTGTTCTCGCATGCTGGGCTGCCCACCTGCCTTCATGCACAGCTTGTTCTGTCAGATCTGATTGCTTTGGGATCAGGCATGGCTGGTGAAGGTGTGGGGGGGTTGGGCCTGGGGATGGTGGCAGCCTGGTCTTGAACTCTGATGTGTTCTCTGAGGCAGAGTTTTGGCCGAGCAGTGAGGGCAGCATTGTATGCCCCCCACGAGCCCATGCTGGATTACAATATGGTCATCATCTTCATCATGGCTGTTGGCACCGTCGCCCTTGGGGGCTACTGGGCTGGGAGCCGGGACGTGAAGAAGTGAGTGCCCTGTGTGCGTTTGTGCATTGTGTGTATGTGTGTGCGTGTGTGTAACTGACGGGTGACCCTAATGCTGGGAGGTGAAAACCTGAAAATAATAGGATTGCCCAGAAGAGGGATGTCCACACTCCCAGAGAACCTTCTGAAATACAGTTGCTATGAATACCTGGGAGATCTAACCAAAAACCCTCTGGGCCCTGCTCCCCGAGACTCTGCTCTGGCACTGGGATCTGAGCCCAGGCCCTCCCAGGCCAGGGCCGCACTCAGGAGACAGGGTCTGTGGGTAGTCCCAGCAGTGCTCAAGGGCATCTCACAGCTTTCTGTGCCCTCGTGTGACCAGGGGCCCACCTTCAGGAGTCTTGTCTTTGGGAACCTTGTGCTCCTGGACAAGGATGTGAGGTCTGAGGGGCAGGTCTGGCTCTCCCGTTGGAGGGACACTGGTGACACATAGTGGGTCTGGAGAGGGTGGACAGGCCAACAGATGAGCTGTGTCTGCCCATCCTTCCCTGTCTCCATGGCCCTTGTTCTTGGGGACTGTGCCAGTCAGCCACGTGTCCTTGTGACTCTTCTGTGCTTCTCAAGAAGGTACATGAAGCATAAGCGGGATGACGAGCCTGAGAAGCAGGAGGATGAGGCTGTGGACGTGACGCCCGTCATGACCTGTGTCTTTGTGGTTATGTGCTGCTCCATGCTGGTGCTCCTGTACTACTTCTACGACCATCTTGGTGCGTCTCTGCCAGCCATGACTCCTCTGGAGAAGTCCAGCGGATGGCAGGGTGCAAGGAGGGGCTTGGGCAGGGTTTGTCCCCTCCCTTCACTGGGCGCAGATCACCCTGCCCAAGTGCAAGAATACACACGGCCCTTCCCGGGGGTGTGCTGGGACTCCAGCAGCCCGGCCTTCCCCTCACTGCCACCCTGCTCTGCAGTCTATGTGATCATTGGGATTTTCTGCCTGGCCTCCTCCACGGGCCTCTACAGCTGCCTGTCACCATTGGTCCAGAGGCTGCCATTTGGCAAATGCAGGTGAGCTCCCTCAGGCAGCCTTTACCCAGCCCCAACTGGTCCCTTGCCGACAGCTCTGTTCTTGAGGTCCTGCACGCGGCCTCTCTGTGTCCTGTTTCCTGGCCCCTGAGGCTCCAGGCTCTGCTTCCATGATTCGAGGACCCCCTCACTTCTGTGGCCCTCAGCCAGTCTGGCACAGCAGGTGTTCACTCAGTGCTTGCCAGGGTTCATGGGTCTTGGGAGCAGGACAGAATGGGGAGGCGAATGGGCTTTCTCAGTCCTCTTACCGCCTCTTCTTGGGTGGCTTTCCTCTCTCCACCTTTCATTCCAGGGCAGATAGGCCCTCGCAGGGGCTGAGTAGGGTGATGTGGGTAATGTGGGTACTGGGCAGCGGTGCACGGCAGTGCAGGTCTGGGCCACGTGGCTGGATGCACTGGTGGTTCAGACCTGGAGCTTCCTTGCTGCCAGGAGCTCAGTCTGGTTCTTGCAGGGCAGATGAGCAGTTACTCAAGGACTTAGACAAGGGGGATGAGATCTTTTAAGGTTGTCATACGAAGGTGAGCAGGCAGGGACCTGAAACAGGCTAGGAGACATGATGCTGAGCTGAGGACTCCCATGGGCTCTCCTGGGCTCCTGTGGGCCCATGTCAGTTCCAGTGGGATCTTGTGGGCAGACTGACATGGAAACTGGTCAAGGTTTGCTCACGCTAAGTGCCTGTCCCCACCCTGCTCTTCTCTGCTCTTGGGAACCTCTCTTCTATAAATGTAATGAAAAGCAAGAGGATTGTGGGTTTTAGCCGAGAATGTGAAGTGGAGGAAGGAGCATGGCCAGGTGGGCAGGATAGTGGGTGGCTTCTCTGAGAGCAGAGCCTGGAGGACAGCAGGAGGCCTGGGGGCAGGCCTGTTGGAGTCAGAACTTGAGGGGGCCGAGGTGCTTTTGGGCAGGAGTTGAGATGACCCTCTGGGTGGTGGGTGGGAACAGGCTGTAAGAGTCAAAGGTCAGTGGGGGGTGGTGAGGGGCATGCTGCCCATGATGACCACCCCCTCCTCCTCTACCTGTCCCCAGGATCTGTGACAACAGCCTGCCCTACTTCCACAAGTGTCCTCAGGTCCGCATGCTGCTCCTGGCACTGTTCTGTGTGGCTGTCAGCGTGGTGTGGGGAGTCTTCCGGAATGAGGACCAGTAAGTGCCGTCCATTGGGAGGCCCCGGCTTTGGGGTGGCCCCTCCCACCTGAGGGCTGTCCTCAGATGCTCTGAGTACTGGACTGCAACCTTCCTGTACCTCCCCTGAGGCCATTTGGGGGCACCTGGAGCCAGTTCACCTCCTTGGTTATGAAAAGCCCTCCTTTCAGTCCTCTGGAAGCAGTGGCCGAATGGCGTCCAGGTGTTGACTAGGCTCAGCTGACGGCCGTCCAGCCGCGGCTGCCCTGCCTGCCTCCCGCGTCCAGTTTCATCTGGTTTGTCTGGGTGCCACATGAACTGTGATTGGATCTGGATATGAGATGCTGCAAACCCTCTTGGCCTGGGCGCCCTAAGCTGTGTTCTCCTGGACAGACTCAATGGGGCCCTGGGCAGAGGGAGGGGAAGCTGTTCCCTGGCCCTGGCGCCATTTGTCCCCACTGCTCCCATAGTGGTGCACCCAGCCAGCACCCTCACAGCTGGTTCAGGGAGTCTGGCTTGCTTTTTCGTGGACTGACTTCCCCTAGGTTCAGTCTCCCCTGGAAGGCAGCTCACGTGGCCTGGAGCCCGGGCTGTGCTTAGAGGACAGAGCCGGTCTGTTCCTGCCCAACCCCTCCCCCCTGCTATCACTGACACCATCTGGTGCTCTTGATGAGCCTTTCCCAAGGCAGTTAAATGTTCTTGGCGACACCTCTGTTTGGAGCCATAACAGATTTAAGTGGCAGAAGGAAAATGGGAAAATATTTTGAGTCCTTTGTACACCAAGAGAATATGAACTCTCATAGCCAAGAGACTTCTTTGTTGTATAAAATTAGAACAGGCTGTGGTTCCTGCACCTCTGGGTGCATGCAGCCAATGTGCACCCACCCGCCGCCTTCGAAATTTCCCTGTTTTTCAACCTGCCCTGGCCAGGAGATGTTTGATCCCTTTTCTGGTGAAGCATCTGACTAAGTGAGGTGGGCAGACAGAGCCCTGGCCAAGATACAGGGTGAGGCAGGAAAGGTGGGAGGACAGAGCCCAGGCAGGGCCAGGGAGGTGGGGACCAAACCACCCCCAGGGCCTTGGTGGGGAGGGCTGCACAGGGTAAATGCCCTTTGTTCCCGCTGGCCCCTGGATCAAGCTAGTTATTTCTTAGCGCCTCGATGTGGGACTTTACCACACAGATTTAGTTTGCAGATTCAGGAGTGTGGCTGTGGGATGGTAGCGCCTGGATGGTGGGTTAGCGCAGATATTTGAGTTGGGTCTTGCCTCTGCTTCTCGTTCCCACGGGACCGTTCTGGGGGACTTTAGATGCTCATCCTCAGGGCCTGTGCCCAGTGGTCCGAGTCCTAATTTCCCATGGGGCTGAAAAGAGTCTGTGGAACCTGGCTGGGCACAAGCTTCTTACCCCATCCTGTGATCTGGGTATGAAAGCCACCATTGTAAAGAGACCGAGGGCCCAGTAAGTGTCTTCCTCTCTCTGGCCTCCTGGCATCAAGGTGGAGGGTTCGTTTACCCCCTGCCCTGTCATCCATCACTGCCCTGCCTGTTCAAATGAGATGGGGCCCATCCCACAGGTTTTGGAACCCACACTGCTGCCTCTGGCAGCACCCAAGCCTTCAAAACGTGGCAGGGTCAGGCCCGGTGTGGGATGTTTCAGACTGCTTGGTGTGGGTAAGGTGGCTGACGAGGGAGGGACCTGGTGAGTGGTGGCTCTTGGCAGAGTCTGTCACAGCAAGTGATGCTGCCCTGTCCTCCAGGTGGGCCTGGATCCTTCAGGACACGCTGGGTATCGCCTTCTGTCTGTACATGCTAAAAACCATCCGCCTCCCCACTTTCAAGGTAAGGGCCCCGGGGGTCGGGGGCCCCAGGGGTCCTGAGTCCTGAAGGCCTTTTCTGTGTTAGCCCTGTGCCTTGAGTGGCCAGGCCAGGCCTGCCTGCCTTCCCCTTTGAGCCTGGAGCCTGAGGTTATTGTCCACAAGACCTGGTGGAAATAACTTAGAAAAACATGGAGGATGTGAAGAGGGTCATCACCTCCCCAGACCCATAGCTGACCCATCACAGAATATATGTCTCCCAATTGCTCACCTCTGCCACTTTTCCCATTACTTGGAAACCTAGAGAGTGTGACTTATGTTCTGCCCCCAACTCTTCACTGCATATCGCTCTGGAACACACTCTCTTGTCTCCTGTTGCCCGAGCACTGGGGCGAGTGTTGCTCAGACTTTCTCAGAAAGGCTTCATCCCAGTGGGAAGAGTCTGAGCCTTGTGAGGGGAACCGGGAGGGTGGGGATGTGTTGTGGGTCTGTGCCAGGGGTCCTGGGCTGGCCCCTCAGGACGCTTCTTCCCAGGCTTGCACGCTGCTGCTGCTGGTACTGTTCATCTATGACGTCTTCTTCGTGTTCATCACGCCCTTCCTGACCAAGGTGGGAGCCCCTGACCCCTACCCTGCCCCTCCCACACTGCCTGAACCCCATGCCCTACACCCCTGCTCTGATGCAGCTCTCCTATGTTAGAGCGGGAACAGTATCATGGTAGAAGTGGCGACTGGGCCTGCAGACTCAGCCACACATGAGAAGGTATGTTCAGGCCCTGCTGGCCGGAGGGGCGCTGTAAGCTTGAGCTGGTCTACAGGCACTGCCTCCTCTCCCCCCAGCTGCCCATGGTCTTGAAGGTACCCAGGCTGAACGCCTCACCACTGGCCCTATGTGACCGGCCCTTCTCCCTCCTGGGTTTTGGGGACATCCTGGTTCCAGGTATGGGTGCTGGGCACATGGGTGGGTGACTCCACAGCCCTGAGGGTACTCAAGTGTCCTGGTAGTGTTGGGTCAGGGGGGCCAGTGGGTAGAGATGGAGCCCAGCTGGTGGAGTATGTGACAGCTAGAGCTGGTGCATGGTCAAGGTGACCTCATGTCAGCCTCAGGGGGCAGTCCAGCCCTATTGGTCATGGCTGTACAGATGTGCCTACCTGGAGCTGGCTGTCCAGGGCAGAGTAGTGGCCTCGCCAGCCCCACTTTCCCCCAGGGTCCACCCAGCAGGACCTCCCTGCCCCTCCATGCCTTGGGATATGCACTGGCCCACTGGCTCAGGTTACAGCACTATTTGGAGCTGGCATTGTGGTCGTCTGTGAAATAACAATAATAGCTGTTAGACAAGACTATGCCCAGTCCCTGGCCTCTTCCTGCGAGGTCACTTGGCCCTCATTCTGGGCTCTGGCTTGATCCTTGGCCCATGTTCTCTTTCCCCCCAGGGTTGCTTGTGGCATATTGCCACAGGTTTGACATCCAGGTGCAGTCATCCAGGGTCTACTTTGTGGCCTGCACCATTGGTAAGCACCGTGCTCAGCAGGGGCCAGTCTGCAACCCGCTCTTTGTCAGCGGCTCACACAGCTGGGTGGGGAGGGTGCGGCGCAGCCTCTGCTCACCACACAGTCCTTTTTCTCACTTTTCTGTGATTGCTGTAGTTGTTTTTCTTTTCTTTTGTCTCCTTTTTGTCTTTCTCTTTTTCTTCCTTGTCTTCCATTGGTTTCTTTTGTTACCAAAGCCAATGACACAAAGGTAACATTTTCTCATTTTCTGTTGGGCCCTGATTACTTTTATTTTTATTAAAAAATTTTTTGGTTAATTATCATCAAGGATTTTTTTTTTTTAATCCTCACTCGAGGACACTTTTCCATGTTTTGTTCAGGTAGAGTGGGAGGGAGAGAGAGAGAGAGAAACATCGATGTGAAAGGGACACATCGAGTGGCCACCACCCACATGACCAACCAGGGCTGGGGACAAACTGCAACCGAGGTACGCACCCCTTGCGGGAACCGAACCCGGGTCTCTCTGGACCTCAGGCCGACGCTCTAACCGCTGAGCCAAACCGGCCAGGGCACTGAGGATATTTTTCTGTTGATTTTTAGAGAGAGTGGAAGGGATGAAGGGAGAGAGAGAGAGAGAGAAATATCGACATGAAAGAGAGACATGGACTGGTTGCCTCCCGTAGGACTCCGACTGGGACACTTGACCAGAATGAAACCTGTGACCCTTCAGTCTGTGGGCCAGTTTTTTAAACACTGAGCCAGACTGACCAAAGCAAACTCTGATTGCTTTAAAAAATTTTCCAGCCATGCCTAGCCAGTGTGACTCAGTGGATTGAGTGTTGTCCCATGGACTGAGAGGTTCTGGTTTGATTCCCGGGCAGGGCACATTCCTGGGTTGTAGGCTTGATCCCTAGTAGGGGGAATGCAGGATGCAACCAATCGATGTTTCTCACACAGATGTTTCTCTCTCTTTCTAAAAAATCAATAAAAACATATTTAGAAACTTCCCAACCAGTTTGACTGTCCCCACCCCGTCAGCTCTCAAGGAGGAGAAGTGCGTCGTACACTTGCTATTGTATACACCTGCCTACTTCCGCAGGACAGCCAGGCTGATGGGACATGCTCCCCTGACCCCTGACCCTTATCGTGGGCAGTGAGTAGGGTGCGCAGGTCTGGTGGCTCCCACGCCAGTGGAAGGGGACCTTATAGATGTCACTATAGCACCAGTTGGGCACAAGCTGGCCTTCAAGTGCATTTTGGAATTATTACAGTTTGCCCATCCTGTTGCCTACAGTTGCTGGCACATTGCATCTGAACCTTCCTTTTAAGTTACAGTCCTTGAAGCTATCCTGTAAAGACACAGCTGCAGAAGCTTCCGTGTCTAAATCAGTGTGTCAGAAGGTTCCCGTAGTTCCCATCATTGGGACCCTTTAGATCTTATATAGCTGCCAAACGTCTGTGTCCTTCCATCGTCTGCCTTTGTGAAGTCACTTTGGACACACGGGCAGTCGACATTGTTACATAAGAACCTTCCCTAAGTGAGCACACCACTTGGAAATGTGGAGTGAGGATCAGGGCAGAGCCCAGGTGGATGCTGGAGATGGGCTCTGAGCTCTGGAGGAAGTTTCTAGTTAAAGGCTGGTATTCTTGTAATGTCCTCTGAAATAATTCCCAGGTTACTGTTGTAAGATTAGTACAAGAGACTCCACACTCCTGCTCCCACATTGCCCAGTGGTTAATGTTTCATCAAAATGCCTCACTGTATTCTCTCTCTCTTTGCATATGTATGTATACGTGGGAATATATTTACACACACACACACGTAATAGTACACGTTTTATTCTGAGCTGTGAGAGCAAATTGCTGATGTCACGCCCCTTCACTCTTAGTGCTTCAGCATGTGTCTCATAGGAACAAAATGTTCTTTCATCACGATTAGGTTAAGATTTGTTTTTGTTAATATTCACTCCAGGAAAGGGAGGGCAGGGAGAGAGAGAGAAACATCAATGTGAGAGAAACACATGGACTGGTTGCCTTCCGCATATCCCTGGGGCTGGGGATTGAACCTGCAACCCAGGCACGTGCCCTTGACTGGGAATCCAACCTGCCACCCTTGGGTTCGCGCTGACACTCTAACATTGAGCCATTCTGGCCAGCGCAGATTACCAAAGATTTTTTTTAAACTTCACCCAAGAATATTTTTCTATTTATCTTCAGATAGAGTGGGAGGGAGGGAGAGAGAGGAAGGGAGAAGGAGAGAGAGAGAAACATCAATGTGAGAGGGACACACTGACTGGTTGCCTCCTGACAAAGGCAACTAAGGTACGTGCCCTTGACCGGAATCAAACCCAAGACTCTTTGGTCTGCAAGCTAATGCTCTAACCACCGAGCCAACCCAGCCAGGGCAGATTATCAAAGATTTGATTTCCTAATTCTATACGTACATTATTGTAATTTAAAATTATATTTCTGAGTAAAGGTTTATAAAAACGAGATATTTGGGCATTTTCACAGCTTTTTCTCCAGCTGCTTCTGTGGTTCCAGATCCTTCTTACAGCTGCCAGCTGCTGATCAGAAGGCCCCGTGGTCTTTCGTTCCCTCTCCAGTGTCCCCGTCCTCTCCCCAGTGACTCCATCCTCTCCCCAGTGTCCATGTCCTCTCCCCAGAGTCCTCATCCTCTGCAATGTCCCTGTCCTCTTCCCAGAGTCCCCATCCTCTCTGCAATGTCCCTGTCCTCTCCCCAGAGTGCCCATCCTCTCTGCAATGTCCGTGTCCTCTTCCCAGAGTCCCCATCCTCTCTGCAATGTCCGTGTCCTCTCCCCAGAGTCCCCATCCTCTCTGCAATGTCCGTGTCCTCTCCCCAGAGTCCCCATCCTCTCTGCAATGTCCCTGTCCTCTCCCCAGAGTCCCCATCCTCTCTGCAATGTCCCTGTCCTCTCCCCAGAGTCCCCATCCTCTCTGCAATGTCCCTGTCCTCTCCCCAGAGTGCCCATCCTCTCTGCAATGTCCCTGTCCTCTCCCCAGAGTCCCCATCCTCTCTGCAATGTCCCTGTCCTCTCCCCAGAGTCCCCATCCTCTCTGCAATGTCTCTGTCCTCTCCCCAGCCTCCCAGCTACATTGTCGCTTCCTCCTGTCTTCTCATTGAAACCTGGCTTACATCTTGCCTGTCCCCTCAGGACTAGGTGGGGCAACTCCCATTGTGCCCAACTCCCATTGGCTTGCCCCTGTGTCATGTCTCTGGTACCCTGTGCTCCCAGCATTCCTTCGAGAGGTGTGGGGATGGGTAGCCTTGGGGACTGCTGGCCCAAGTAACACACTGCTCATCTCTGTCCCTCCAGCCTATGGCATCGGCCTCCTGGTGACGTTCATGGCCCTGGCCCTCATGCAGCGTGGCCAGCCCGCCCTCCTCTATCTGGTGCCCTGCACGCTGATCACCAGTGGCACCCTGGCCCTGTGGCGCAGAGAGCTGGGCATGTTCTGGACGGGCAGTGGCTTTGCGGTGAATACCAGTTTGCTATGACTGTCTGCAAGAAATAATAACCCATAAGCCCTAACTAGAATTAAAGTTGAGTAAAGCCTCTAGTTTTACAACTAAACCCTGCAGCCCTCATCCCATGGTTAGTGTCTCCCCATTTCCAGAAGATTTTGATTGGTGTTGTGTCCATGTTGTTCTGATGGCTCTGAGCCACCCCTGTGGAGGGACAACATGTGGTTGTCATGCCAGGTGTGATGAGGGTGGTGCTGGTCCCACAGCACAGTGGCACCCCAATTAACTGGGCGTTCTGCTTTCACCATTGAGAAGGCAGTGTCAGGCTGGGGAGCAGGCACTGAAGCCCCTCTACCCAGGCAAGAGCTGTCACAGCTCAGGCTGAGGGCTCTGGGGGACCTGGCACCTCAGTCAGGCCCAGCTGTGAACGAGGTACAGCAGGGAGAACGTGGGCCAGCCCGCCCTTCCTTGCCTGTAGATCAGCTCAGCACGCTGCCCAAAGGAAGGGTGTCAGTGGGGTTCCCCTCCCGTGACACGTGCTGCCCTTAGTGAAACACTGAGTGTGGTGTTATGCCAGAAAGGAGCAGGGCTCTGGGTCTGATCGATTGATTAACACAACCTGGAGCCGGACCCTTTCCCAGGCCCTTGGGGAAGGTCTCCTGGTTTAGTGCCCATTGTCCTCAAAGGGTCTCAGTGCCAACTGGTGTTGGCTTTGCCATAGAACTGTTGGGCTGGTTCTAGAAGGTTCAGGATGGGGGGAATAAGCCAATGAGGTCAGAATCAGGTTTCTGCTTCAGGTCCCCTTCCTGTGGCCTTCGTGCTTGTCAGTGGCTTGTTCTGGGCCTAGAGCTTGACCCTCTGGGGACATTGACTCCTGCCTCCCCTCCCCTGAGGCTCTGTTGCCTCACCCACTCCTTACCGCCGGCTCTCTCCTCTTGCAGAAGGATCTACCTCAGCCTCCTTGGGCGCCAGCCTCAGCTGAAGGCCCACAGCCTCTGAAAGACTCTGAGGTTGTGGTTTCCCAGCAGCCTCCAGGTGAAGCCCAGGTCAAGCCCACCCTGCCCGCAGAGCATCCTCCAGAACTGGCTGGTCCTGAAGATGTGGCCGGTGTGTCCACCCAGGAATCCAAGAGTCCTGTAAGCCACACCTCTGAGTCTCCAGGCCTGTCAGGTGCCTCAGCCTAGGGGACAGTGCAGCCTCAGTCTTCGCCGTTTCCCCGAAACTGGAACTGCCATCCTCCCAACTTGGTGCTCTGGTCTGGCCGATGCTCACATCTCCTCTGCCTCCTCGAGCCCAGCCGCACCTGGATCCCGGCCCTGCTCCCAGCTCACGTGGCTGCCGCAACCCCTTGGACTGCCAAGGTTCCCATCCCTCGAGCCCAACCCCATAGTCTTCCTAGTCGGAGTCTCTTGGTGGGACCTTGGAAAGGGCAGGGAGGGTCCCCTCTCCTGCTGATGGCTGCAGACCTGCTACATCTGGTGCTTCCACTGCACTGCTGCTTCCTTCCGGTTTCCCTGGAGATGCCCTGTCCTGGGCGAGGGGGGGTGATCTGCCCCCAAAGGCTGGGACTGTCCTTCTGTGGTCCAGCTGGTACAGATGATGAAAGTCTGGGCTTGGAGGTGCGGACTTAGACCCCGGCTGGCATGGGGTCTGGACCTGCCTCTGGGTAAGTTGGGGAGCTGGGCTAAGAGCTGCCAGCAAGGCTGGTGGTAAAAGGACGGAGGCTTTTGGTCTGAACCCTGACCATGAGTCCTCCATCAGCCTGGGAGGTGTCTGGAGCCTGTGCCATCCAGCCCCTCCATGTCTTAATAAATAGCCACGACTTTCTGAAATTCCAGTGGTGTCGCCTCTCTTGGACTGCCCTTCCTGGAGGCAGGATGGGCACCAGGCCAGGTGGCCAGGCCCTTGGGGTCTACCCAGCCCAGCACCCCTAGCCCTTGATGGCCGGCTCTGCCCTCGTGTAGACTCCACTGCCTCAGCACAGAGGAACTGGGGCTTCCCCCTCCACATCATGGGCATCTGCACGTTCTTGACACCACCCCAGCACACACAACTCGGCCTCCAGCTGCAACACAACCAAGGCGAGCACACTGCGCAGAGCTTCTGGAACGTGGGAGAGTACTCTGGAACTGGCATTTTATTTTCTACCTCCGAACCTCAACATGCCATGGTAGAGCTGGCTCGGCGGCCCCCATTCCCGGCACCCTCCCTCCACCGTTGTGTTGCATGTGTCACCACCACTCAAGCCAATGACAGTGCCTTGGGGCTACGGACCGCCAGGACTGTCTGTGGCCCTGGGGCCTGCTCCTCCCCATCCATGCAACCTCCAGACTCATTCAGAAGATGTTTCCTTTGGCGCGATGTGAAGGCATAGACCCTCAAGCCACGTGGTCCTGGTCCTGTCTCGTAGACCACGGGCATGAGGGCAAAACATGATCCACTCCAAAAATACCAGCACCAGACAGACTTGCAAACCCTCTTTGTTAGCCACACTTCTCAAAGGAGATATTTTACCCCCCCCCAAAAGATGTCTTCCACCTGCTTCCATGTGTTTCCCCGGGAGGGAGAGCAGCTGGACCTTTGGCCCCACGGGAGCTCCTGGACTTGGGGGCCAGGACCTGGCGGCTGTAGCCACAGGGCGGTCTGGGCAAAGGACCCAGATGGACCCTGTCTGACCACTGGCCTGCGCCTTAATCTAAGCCATTTTGTACATTGGTGTCAAAGATGGGAATCTTTTTTGTTTTGGAAATTAGACAAATGTCATGAAATTCAAAGGCAATGTTAGTTCCTACTGTCTTTGTTTGCAGTTTTGGCCTTGCTTCTATTCGAATCTTATAATTAAACACAACTTTTGATATGCAGGACTTGACCTTTGCCTTTTCTGAGGTGCAGCGAGCTGGTGGAGCCTGGCATACCATGGGGGCCTGGCGGGGCTGGGTGTGTCAGGCTGTGGCATGGACACCTGAGTGTGCTGGCTGGTGCTGAGCAGGGCTTTTGCTGCAATACCGATAATTGTGTGGGTGTGTTGTTATAATTAATGGCATTTCAGAGCTGAAGGAAGTCTGTTCCCCATGTCTGTTAGCTTATTCATGGTTATCTAAGAAGTCTGGAAAGGAATCGCCTATAGTGGGGGCCATAGACCTGCCATAGAGGCCAGATGGCAAATGTTTAGAGCTTTTCACCTCTGTCACAACGAGCCGACTCTGCTGCTGTGGCCAGAAGACAACATGTGAGCAAGGGGGGTAACTGGCCAAAACTATTGGTGGACACTGAAATGTGAGTTCCGCGTAGTTTCCATAGGTCACCAAATACTCTTTTTTATATTCTATTTAGAAACATAAAATGCTTTATTAGCTAGCAGCCATGCAAAGACAGGCAGTGGGCCAGGTTTGGTTGACACGCTCCCAAGTGAGGACCCTCCGCAGTAATGCAGATTATAAAGATGAAGGCTCTGTGCCCTGACCCGTTTGGCTTAGTGGTTAGAGCATCGGCCCTCGGGCCAGAGAGGCCCGGGTTCAGTTCTCGCTAAGGGCATGTAGCTGGTTTGCAGTTTGTCCCTGGCCCCGGTTGGGTTTGTGTGGGTGGTAACCACTCGATGTGTCTCTCACATCGATGTTTCTCTCTTTCTTCCTCCCACTCCATCTCAAGATGAATGCAAAAATGTCCTCTGGTGAGGATAAAAAAAAAGATGAAGGCTTTGTGCTGCTAAGGGAGCTAGCCAGAATGGTGGGCAAGGTGCTGCCACCAACCCCTTTACATATACAGGAGGCATGTCTCTGATGTCAACTAGCCCGCACCCGGCACATGGAGATTCGAGCAGAGATGTGTGGACTCCTCCAGTTGCCAAGTGTCACCATCCCTTCTTGGTCAAAAAGACCTCAACCCCCATGAGACCAACAGAAAATAAGGATGTAGCTGCCAGTGAGGTTTAGGGCAGGTGCTGTGAAGCCTAATTAAAACCAGCTTAAAGGATGGCTTAATCACTGCAAGGTAATTCTAGAATATTTAAAATCACAGTTGTTTGTAAATTTTAACTATCAGTAATCTCCAATAAGCTTTTCTAAAAGGAGTGCCTCAGGCCCTGTCCAATTTGGCTCAGTGGTTAGAGCATCAACCTGTGGTCCAGAGAGACCCAGGTTCGGTTCCTGCTAAGGGCATGTACCTCAGTTGCAGTTTGTCACCGGTCCTGGTTGGTAGCCAGGCAGCCACTTGATGTGTCCCTTTCATGTCAATGTTTCTCTCTCTCTCTCTCTCTCTCTCTCTCTCTCTCTCTTCCGCTCTCTCCCTCCCACTCTGTCTGAACAAAAAAAAGAAAAATGTCCTTGGGTGAGGATTAAAAATAAAACTAAAAGGAGTGCCTCAGAGTGGTCGTGGGCAGGTTGTTCACCCTCTGTCTCTGAGTTCTCTGTGCCATGGGGGTGATGACATGCCCACCGCCCAGTACTGGGAATGACCCTGAGGGCAGTTGCCTGGGCAACGCCGAGTAGTCGTATTGACTTGGTGGTCTGTCCATCCTACACAACTGATGCCTCACTCCTTTGTGAGGGTAGCAGAGCCCAGTGGGTGCCTGGGTTGGGGAGAGCCCCACACACTTCTCACAGCTGGAAGCAGTAGCTGCATGTTGGCTCTGGAAAGATCATGTTTTCTTTCTGTTTCATTGGGATGCATAGCTGAGTACTTTGAACACTGCTATAAGGACAATGATTTCCTTTTTTTTTTCTTTGATAATCCTCACCCAAGGATATTTTTCCATTGATTTTTTTTTTATATAAATTTTTTTCTTGCCCTGGCCGGTTTGGCTCAGTGGTTGGAGCTTCGGCCTGCAGTCCAGAGAGACCCGGGATCGGTTCCCGCTAAGGGCATGTATCTCAGTTGCAGTTTGTCCCTGGCCCCGGTTGGGTCATGCGGGAGGCAGCCACTTGATGTGTCCCTTTCACGTCCATGTTTCTCTCTCTCTTCCTCTCTCTCCATCCCACTCTATATCTGAACAAAAAATGGAAAAATGTCCTCGGGTGAGGATAAAAAAAAAAATTCTTGCCCTGGCAGGTTTAGCTTAGCAGTTAGAGCATCGGCCCGCAGACTGGAGAGACCCAGGTTTGGTTCCTGCTAAGGACACGTACCTCGGTTGCAGTTTGTTCCGGCCCGGTTGGGGTCGTATGGGTGGCAACCACTTGATGTGTCTCTCTCACGTCAGTGTTTCTCTCTCTCTCTTCCTCTCTCCCTCCTGATCTGTCTGAAGATAAATGCAAAAAGTGTCCTCGGGTGAGGATAAAAAAATAATAATAAAATTTAAAAAAAATTTTTCTTTATTGATTTGAGAGAGAGAAAGGGAGAGTGAGAGAGATAGAAACATCGATGACAGAGAACATTGATTGGCAGCCTCCTGGATGCCCCCCTACTGGGGATTTGGCCCAAAACCTGGGCATGTGCCCTGACCAGGAATCAAACCGGTGACCTCTTGGTGCATGGGTCTGTGCTGAGCCACACTGGCCAAGATCCATTGATTTTTAGAGAGAGTAGAAGGGAGGGAGGGAGGGAAGGACAGAGAGAGAGAGAGAGAGAGAGAGAGAGAGAGAAACATCAATTGGCTGCCTCCTGCACAACCCCCACTGGGCCCAGGATCGAACCTGCAACCCAGGTACATACCTTTGACTGGAATCGAACCCTCACGGGCCAGTGCTCTAACCACAGAGCCAGACTGGCCAGGGCTACTACGCAGGCCAGAGTTTACAAATTTTCCATCCATTCATACATTCATTCATTCATTCAATCAGTCTTCATCGAGCACCTGCTGTGTGCCCCGCCCCCTGCACTGGCCCAAGAATGAACATGGGAGATTTCAACACTGCTCTGGCCCAGGTGGCTCAGCCTGGTGAGGAAGGACAGACATGGGTCTGTGCAGGAGAGGCCCTCAGCTCCAACTTGGGAGGCAGGTGTCAGGGAAGGCTGCCTGAAGGAGGCAACTGTTAGCTGAGCCCAAGGGCTGCAGATGGGGTGGTTCCAGGCTATAGTGTGGAAGTGAGCCTGGCTGGTGCCAGCATTCAAGGATGGAGGGTGGGGACCCTGGCTGAAGAGGAGAGGGGATCAACAGCCACGTGGGGAAGGCATTAGCAAGTCACCAGATGGTCAGGGGGCTGGAGCTCCAGAAAGAAACCAGTGGATTTCTTTCTGGGAAAGAAGAAGGCGACCCCCCAGGGGTTGCAGACTTCTCCCCACACAGCTGTCTTGGCTCAAAGAAAGAGGCAGCAGCGGGAAGAACCCACTCTGGAGCTGAGTGACTCTGGACACATCACTGCTC